TGCCCTCGCCAATGGGACCAACATTAAGAACTAAATAGTCAAGAAGTGGTAGTTGTCCAGATTTATTTCTGGGTGTTTCGTCTTATCCGACTGTCCACAGTCCCTCTTCATGGTACAGCTATAGTGCTCTCTTTTTAGGTTGCTTTCAATCTGTTTTAGCATGCTGGAAAAGATGGAGACAGTTACCAAACCGAATAACCCTTACCAGGTGCTTCTCTATCGGCCTTAAATCTGGAATTGGACTTGCATTCGGTTATTGGCCAACTTTCCGATTTTAGTTTTGGTTATGACATTGTATGTGGGACGCAAAAGATAGAGGGCGATTAGTTCGCTCCCCGCGCTATCATCTCCAGCTGAATTACAACGGGGATGCGACAAGTTAGGACAAAAAGATTTAGGCAGATTTTTGCTCTTAGCCAACTGACATTCTACTCAGATTATCACGACGCCTTGAAGGTCCCAATTCGAATAGTTGCCAGCGGGCAGGTTAACTTGGTCCTTTCTAGTCTACCTCTGACAATAACTTGTGCACATTTGACTATGAAACCCGTGGATGTTGGATCGTCCACTGCGCCCACTCCTGTCTTGAGTCCCCCTGACTCTGCCTAGTCTAGGATGCATAATGCAAATGAGGAATTCGAATCTTCATTTGCCCATTCCTTCCTTCCTTCCTTCCGTCTGTCAGTTACCTTCCCCAAAAAGAAAATCCTCCCCGAGGTCGAGGGGTAGTTGCCTTATATCTTCCTGCGTCCCATTTGCAATATTGATTTCAAATTTCGCTTTTTTAGATGGGTTGGTACTGGGGTCCACTAAGTTTTACAGATGCGGAGGTACTCCTGGCGAAACGGCCTGATGGAACCTTCCTGGTACGAGACAGCGGACACGATACCTTCTTCCTGAGTCTCAGTTTCCGGGTTCGGGGTACCACCTATCACACCCGCATTGAGCACAATCAAGGTGAGTCCCGTATACGGCGTCTTTTAGTGATTTCTTTCATGTTCTTTTTACATTT